CTAACGTCCAGGGTCACCCTAACGCCAGGGTCACGCTAACATCCAGGGTCACGCTAACGTCCAGGGTCACGTTTCTAGGTTTAATGCTGTGTCTGAAATCACCCAGTCATTCACTAACCCGACAACAGATTCTTCAGACGTAATGAATCAACAGAAAAACATCACGTCTCCATATCTGCTCCTGTGATGTCATCAAGTGTCCACAAGCCCCGACATTTACCCTGAACTACAAACGAGGTCATTTACACCAAGTTTCAGGCCTAAATGTCCTCTGTGATCTCCTCGGAGCTGCGTTCACGCAGGGCACACCGGGAAACCGCACACACTCTTGCTAAAGGGCACGTGTCCGTTAGCGTTGCCACTTCAGGTATTGGACTTTTTAGGCTTAAAACTTGATGTAAATAACTTCGTTTGAAATTCAAGTTGAATTTGAATGTCGGGGCTTGTGGTGATGACATCACAGGAGCAGGATGGAGGCGTGTTGTTTTTGTCACCAGTTACTTTAGTTGTATTTGATTCTGTTTACCCCCCCATCATAGTGCTGAGGAGATGATGAGAGATTTTTCAGTGAACCATGTTGGCCCAATCCCATTTCACCCCCTCCACCACGAGTGCAATGCATGATTGTAGATATTGCTATTTTTCATGATGCATTATGGGAAATAATGAGTGTACTATATAGGGAATAAAAAATGTCACTACACATTCGGACAGTTCGGTGAGTGATTTCGGACACAGCCGCTGTGTCATGTTTCAGTTTAAATGTTTAATGAAGGTCACATGATCCTGAGTCGCAGTTTTGATCACGTGATGTTGGTGGTCGTCGTGTTGATGTTTCCTGGTCTGATCCACATCCTGGTCACCTGACGCTCCTGCTGTTCGTACCTGCAGGTTTGATTGTGCTCCAGCGACAGGTGAGAAAGTTCAGACACGTACGTTTCAGGTCCAATCACCTGGAGACAAGCGACTGTGGCAAGCGTCAGCATCACTGGTGATGTGAAGGCAAAAAATCAGCCAGTTGGACCACCAGAGCCATGACTTCAGCCAATCAGGTGTCGTTGCTGATCGTTTCCTCACCATCAGTGTCCTGGCAGACACACACCTCTGGCTCTGACGGTCCTACCCCTGTCCTTAGAACGTGGCGGTCTGTTTGTTGCGAAATGTTTCAAAAAATGCCATCATCCCCTTCCTCACGCTGCCGTTGCCCTTCGTTATCCTCTGTGTCATCATGGTGGAGCTGCTGCTGCTGCTATGGTATCTGGATGTGAGAGGAGCAAAGGCGGCGCCGTCCATGGAGTTGGCCCGTTTGACCTTTGATGGGTTTGCACGCCACGACTTGGACCTTGGAGGAGGAGTCTGAGCCACAAGACACTTCTGATACTGGACCTGACAGACAGGAAAAGAGCGACCAATCAGAGTCCAGTCTGATCTACAACTGAAGTGATGGAGAATCAAGAGAGACAGATAGGAGAGAGACAGACTGACAGGTGTCTCACCATACACGCAGCCTGAACAGCCTCAGAGATGATTCCTGCATCCGGTTCACACCAGAACACGTGACACTCGAATCGCTGCGTGCCACCGTCCACGATCACAGCAAAGGTGTGGCTGTCATGGCCAACGCCCAGAAAAGTAAGGAAGCGAACTTGACACTCCCAGACTGGCTCCTCCCCCTCCTGTTGGGATCAGAAAACAGATTAAAAACAGCTTTGACCCTTGACCTTTGACCTGTGTGATGTGACGGTACCTCGCCCCTCCACAGCGACAGGACGTTGTCAGTGACGTGGATCACTGTCGGTTCCCAGTCGTCTCTGTCTGTGGAGTTCATGATGCTCTCGATCGCCCTGTTCAACACCTCCATACCTGCAACACACATCAAACACTGTTCTCTCTGTTTCAGTCCTCGTGGATTTGGTGTGTGAGCGTGTGTGTGTGTGTGTGTGTGTGTGTTACCCATGGCTCTGGACACCGGCAGGTTTCCAATGTACTGGACGTCAAACTTCTGGACCTGCTGCTGCACAGCGTCCAGAAACTCAACTGAAACAATGACAGATCATCGATGAGGAACCAATCAGAGAACAGGTGACATCAGAGAACAGATGACGTCAGAGAGTAGGTGACATCACCTTGTCTGGGCAGATCTTCAGGTGAGATACTCTCCATGGTCAGAGAGCGAGATGGCCTCATCAGCGCCTTCTCTGACATCATCTGCAGACAAAGATACAGACTGTGAATAAAGATGGACGACACAACTAAACCTTCACAACCACTATCACGACTGCTCGCTGACTCCAAATGACGTCATCACCAAAAGATGCAGTATTTGAGATATTTTGGCTTCAATCAACAGGAAGTGGAGATGTGTCGTCCATCTTTAAGATCTATGTAAGATGTATGTGAGCTACTAAAGTGTCGATACACTGTAAATCATAAAATTACTGGTTTAATCAGAACATTTAATTGTGTCCAACACGTTGCCCTCAACTGGAATCTGTGTTTACTGTCTGATGACCTAACATAGCATGCTAACACATCACGCTAAGCTAGGCGATGGTGGATGATTGACCAACCTTGGAGCACATCTGGTGCAGAGCTGTGGCGATGGCCTTGGCTGGAGCATCGCAGCGAAAGACGTGACACTTGAGCACACAGGTGTCCTTATCTCCCGCCACGAAGGCAAAGTCCCTGAACACACCACACACACACTCATGTCTCCATGACTTCAGAGGACATTACATTAGCTTTGTGAAGATGGTGTGTCCCTGTAAATACAACAAGTCCCCACAATGTGGATAACACACACACACGCAGTGTGGTCATGTGATGAGCAGGTTCCATAAATGACCCTGACGTACGAGACAATGAAGACGTAAAGACGTTTACCTGTCCCTGCCCAGGTGAGGGGGGGCGTGTTCAAGAAACAGAGAGTGTCAGTGTTAGTGTAAACAAACATGTAAACACATATGTAAGCATACACACGCCAGAGAACACCCATTTAAACAACCACATGCATTTTTACACACATGTAATTACACATGTGTAAACAAACACACCACACATGCAAACAGCGAGAGAGAGAGACAGAGAGAGAGTAATAATTACCTCTGTATGATACACACCTTTTT